GCATATATCTAATTTTTAGAAATAATTAACTTTCAAATATAGTTTAAAACTCGAATTTTTGAAACATTTGAATTTTGAATAATTTTAGTTAAAAAATTTAAAACAGTATTGAATTTTGGGAGATTTACAGTTTGTAAATTTTTTGAATAATTAAATTTTAAAAATTGGAATTTTGATTAAATGATTGAAATAAAAAAGTTATTTAGTAAAACATTATAGAAAACAATTGAATTTTAGAAAAGTTACAGTAGAAATTTTTTAAATTTAAAAAAAATTTTTTTTAAAATTGAAATTCATGTTGAATTTCAATTATACAATATGAAAATATTTATTTTTAAAAAAATCATTTAAATTTCAAATAATTTCACTTAAAATTTTTTGAAAAAATGGAATTTTGAAAGAGTTGCATATATCTAATTTTTAGAAATAATTAACTTTCAAATAAAGTTTAAAATTCGAATTTTTTTAACATTTGAATTTTGAATAATTTTAGCTAAAAAATGTAGAACAGACTTTAATTTTGGGAGAATTGTATAGTTGTAAATAAATGTTTAAAAATTGTAATAAAACTTTCAGAGGTTTTAAATTAAAAATTCTAAGCACCTTAGTGCCTTGAAGAATTTTAATTCAAATTTTTATTGAAATTGGTTATTTATTAATAATTTTTTTAATTATTTCAATATATAATTGAAAAATTATATAATTGAAAAATTATCGAAAATTTAGTAGAAAATGTAGAACATAAAATTGAAGTTTGAATATGTTATAGAGTAGAAATTTTTAAGAAATAATTAAATTCCAAAAGGTTTTAACTTAAAATTGTTTAAATTTCAATTCACGTAGAATTTTAATTATATTTAAATATTGAAAAAAAAATTTATAAATGTCTTTGAAGAGTTTAAGTAAAAAAAATCTAGAAGAGAATTGAAGTTTGTAATTCAGGGAAACTCAGGAAATTCAAAATTCCATATTTTTAAAATCCGGAATAAAAAATGACTTTTTCCTTTTTTTTCTTTTAAATTAATAAAATTTACCAATGAATTAGTAGAAATTACTATTTAGTAGTAAACTTTACTAATTAAAAAGCAAAAAGTCGGTCACTTATTGAAATTAGTAAAAATTTTTCTAATTAAAATTCAAATTGGTAAACATTTTTGTATTAATTCGAATTTAGACAGAAAAGGAAAAAAATTCTGTAATTTTTTAGAATGTATATTATAACTTTTTAGCCATCAAGCCAAAAAGTGATAAATTTGAAAGTTTAGAAAATGAAATTATCCAGTTTTCACCCCTAGCAAGGTATACATTGTATTTAAAATTTTAAATGTCACTCTCAGTACCCAAATAACTCTTTTCTAACTGGAGATAATTTCTATGGTTACTCTACCCATAAACCGTGAAATACAACTTAATATACGAATGAGACAAAATTCTTGTAAAATTTATTAGATGTAAAATTTCATGTCAAATCGATTTTCGTTCACACGACACTGTTTATATATATATATATATATATATATATATATATATATATATATATATATATATATATATATATATATATATATACACACGTTATATAACACTCATACATACATTCACAAGAATGAGATTTATTTTAATATTATTATTATTTTTTTTCTTCATCCAGGGGTTCGAAATGTCTGGGTCTGAAAAATCCTAAGACTTGAGGCAAAAGGGGATCATATTATTTTGCTTGAATTATTTATAGAGCCACCTAAATCTACATCTATATGGATGTGTGTCCTTTCTGTACGTGTATAATACACGAACCAAAAACGTGCTTTTCTTAAAGGTGTGTTTTCAGTTGCCCCGGGGCGGATCTAAAACTCGCTCTCGAAAATCTCCGAAAAATCTACCGAAAAAAAAGAAGAAAAAAAAACATGCGCGCACAATACAAGCGTCTCACGTATACATATATATATGTATACATTTTTATGATAATTCTAGATAAGACTTCCCCTAAAAATTCTTTTCATGGAGGAAGACACACACTGCACGCAATCTTGGCGCCAAAATAAATGGTTTTGGCTCACCAATTTCCTGGAATGTAAACCATTTCTTTTTGAAATTTTCAAAATGGTGGTTGCACTCCTCTCTTTCGATAGATTTAAAGTCTTGTAGATATAGAATTTAGTACTGTCTTTATAGTGCTTCTTGTTTGTTGAGCGATAAACACGATGACATTTATTTTGATTGGAGAAAAACACAGAATTTTAATTTCGGAAATTAGTTTTCTAAATTCTTGAAAAATCTTCTCTTTTCGAGAGCATTTCGGAAAAATACGTCTTGGTTTGATTTTAAGTCGGAAAAAAATCGTTTTACCTGATGCAAAAGTACGAAAAAAGTCGAAAAAGTTCGTTTTTTTATTCCGGATTTTAAAAAAATGTTTCTGAATTCCAAACAGTAGGAAAAAGTCAATTTTGAATAAGTTTCGTTGAAAATCTTATAGAAAACAATTAAATTTTTTGAAGAATTGTTATTGCTGTAATTTTTATAAATAATTAATTTTTATTAGATTTAAAATTGAAATTTTAAAAAATTCGAATTCTGGATTATTTTTCATATAAGATACGAAAATAGAAAATATTCTCATCTTTTTTCATGGGCGAATTTTTTCCAAAGAAAGAAATTATTCTACATACTTTGAATCTTTTGCTGCGAATTTTTTTCACGTTTCGCGGACAATGACATGAATTCAAAAAGAAAAAAAAATCGTCAAACGTGGAATATAAAAAAAGTTAATAAAAAAAAGGAGGAAAAGAACCTCAGTGACCTTTGATCACTATATATAAGAATTTTATGAATTCAGAAGACGGACTCTTGGTTAGTCCTGCCCCAAAAATGTTTATACACCAATAGCGAGAGATATTACGTTTCCTCACTCGTGGATTCTTGATCCTTGATTCCTTTGGTGGAACCAAGTAAAAGTTCGCGACATGAATGATAAATAATTCCGGGTAGAGAAATAGAATGGAGGAAAAGGGATTTTTGTACATTTATACAATGTTAACTTTTTTTTCGTTATAAAATTACTGAAAGTGGTTATATTGTTAAAATATTATTTTCTTTTTTGAATAAAATTCAAAAATCGAGAAAAAATTTTATCTTTATTTTGATTTTTCTGAATTAGTGCTATTTAATAAATTTTGAACGTTCTTTTACTTACTCTAAATTTTTACTATAATTTTTCTAAATATTTTTATTAAATTTTTACTACTTTCTCTAAATTTTTACTATTTGTGTTAAGTAAATTTTTATATTTCTTTTAATTACTCTAAATTTTCACTCTAACTCCTCTAAATATTTTTATTACATTTTTACTACTTCTTTTATTAAATTTTTGTCTTTTTTTACATTCTCTGAATTTTTACTACTTTTTTCATTAAATTTTTATCTTTCTTTTCCTTTCTCTATATTTTTACTATTTTTTTTTATTAAATTTTTATAATTCTTTTACTTACTCTAAATTTTTACTACAAATCCTTTAAATTTTTACTATAAATCATCTCAATTTTTATTACTTTCTCTAAATTGTTACTACATTTTTAACTAAATTTTTATCATTCTTTTACTTACTTTAAATTTTTATTCTAAGTCCTCTAAATTTTAAATAATTTTTATATTAAATTTTTACTATAATTCCTCTAAATTTTTATATGAAAATTTTTACAACTTTTTCTAAATTTTATCTACTTTTTACTAAACTTTCGTTTGAAAGTTAAGTAAAAAAAAACTTTCAAACGAAAGAAGTTTAGTAAAAAATAGTAAAAATTAAATAATTTAAAAAAATGTTGAATTTAAAATTCCAGTAAAAAATTTAGAGAAAATAGTAAAAATTCAGTTAAAATTTAGAGCAAGTGGTAAAAATTTATTAAAAAGTTGTAAAAATTAAATAATTTTAAAAAATTTTAAATTTAAAAATCTAGTAAAAAATTTAGAGAAAATAGTAAAAATTTAGAGCAAGTGGTAAAAGTTTAGTAAAAAGTTGTAAAAATTCAATAATTTAAAAAAAAATGTAATTTAAAAATCTAGTAAAAAATTTAGAGAAAATAGTAAAAATTTAGAGCAAGTGGTAAAAACTTAGTAAAAAGTTGTAAAAATTAAATAATTCAAAAAAAATTTTAAATTTAAAAATCTAGTAAAAAATTTAGAGCAAGTGGAAAAAGTTTAATAAAAGTTGATTAATAAAAAATAGTAAAAAATTCAATAATTTAAAAAAAAAAATTAATTTTAAAATCTAGTAAAAATTTAGAGAAAGTAGTAAAAATTTATTAAAAATTTAGAGCAAATGATAAAAATTTAGTAAAAGTAGTTTAATAAAAAGTTGTGAAATATTAATAATTTAAAAAAATTAAAAATTTTCAAATCTAGTAAAAAATTTAGAGAAAATAGTAAAAATTCAGTAAAAATTTAGAGCAAGTAGAAAAAGTTTAGTAAAAGTAATTTAATAAAAAGTAGTAAAAATTCAATATGATTTAAAAAAAATTAATTTTAAAATCTAGTAAAATTTTTAGAGAAAGTAGTAGAAATTTATTAAAAATTTACAGCAAATGGTAAAAGTTCAGTAAAAATTCAAAACTAAAAGAAAAAGAAAAATCTGAGTAAAAATTCAGAAAAAGTAAAAAGAAAAAGTTAAAATCTTTTCTCGATTCTTTCCACAGCCACTTTTTTTCCCCAAACCCAACCATAGAGTTTACCCACAAAATTTTTTTTGGTCAGTGGTTTTTCCCTATGCTGAAAAGATGTTGCGGTGAGGTATTGAAAATGGATTTATTGGAAAACGAAATTCTCAGCAGGAATATTTTTTTCTATCTTTCAGGAAAAAAAAAGGAAAAAAATTTTTTTTTTTTTTGATCAGTTTTTATGCAAAGAGAAAGTCGATTCTACCCTTGAAGTATTATATAGTGGCAGCGATGAGGAACCACTAGTTGACGCGTTTTGCCTCATTTCTTTCACGACTTTCATGACTACAGGAACGTGTTCAAAATCTTCCGTCAACTTAATTTATTTTTTAAAAACTTACTTTATAATTTACAGTTACGTGCAAAGTTCAAACTTTCTTGAAAAAATATTAAATTCAGTGTCGTGCTTTCATCACAATTTTTGCTGAATTTTTTTTTTCTCTTTTTATTTTTTGGTAGAATATTCAAGGTGATATGCAAATTGTTTCTTTGCCTAAATTGTAAGTGCTTTTTTATGTTTGTGTTTATTACGTTAATTTTTTAATCTCCACGAATTAATGGACTAACTCTCTAAATTTGAATTAGTAAAAGTGGTTAGTAATTTGAATTTTGTAACTGACGTTTTGGTTTTTTAATTAGTAAATTTTACTGATAAGTAGTAATTTCTACTAATTTATTAGTAAAATTTACTGATTTTTTGCATTTAAATTAGCAAATTTTACTAATAAACAGTAATTTCTACTAATTTATTAGTAAAATTTACTAAATCAAAATTTACTGACTTTTTGCCATTGAATTAGTAAATTTTACTAAAAAATAGTAATTTCTAATAAATAATTTATTAGTAATAGTAAAATTTACTATATCAAAATTTACTGACTTTTTGCCATTGAATTAGCAAATTATTGTTTTTTATTATTTATTTACATTTATTAACTGAGAATTAAATAAACAACTTTAAAAAATAGTTCCTTAAAGATTAAAATTGATGAAAAAAAATACTTGTGTTACTAATTGAGATAAATGATAATTAAGACGTGTGGCCGTCGTTTATAATTTACAGACAATCTTTAATGAGATAAAAATCAAGTACAAAAATCATGGCACTTTTTTATGGCTTATTGTTGCCGTATTTTACGACCGTTTTGTTATAACTTCTCCATACAATGATAGAAAGGTATTTATCAAATAACACACGAGAGATTTATTTCTCATCAGTCATTAAAAAAAAAAAAAAAAAATTTCAACGGCGAAAATTAATTTTTATTAAAATTTTTTTCATTTTTTTTCTTTTTTGAAAATTAAATACATTATTATTTTTTTGAAGATACATGTGACAAAATTCTATGGGCTCGAAAATCCACGAGAGAAGTGCTTTGAGCATCGATACGGACCGCGCACGCGCGTCCATAAAATGATCGTAAAAACTTAATTTTACGAGAGGCATAATATATTTGCACCACTAACAGAAGAAGCCGTACTGAGAGTTCAAACGGGGTAAAATTTTGTAGATATGTGTAAACATCCTGGCACGCGCTATTATATATATATGTATATACTTTTTCGGTACATTACGAAACTTATTTTGAAAAAAATGTTTGGATTCTTTTTTTTCTTATTATATTCTCGAATACTGTTCAAATTATTCCGACGGGTACTTGAGAGAAGAGAAGCTTTCGTTCTCTAATTGCTACGAAGTAATCTTTCATTATTTTTGTTTTTTTTATTATTTATTAATTTATTATTTATTATTATTTTATTATTATTTTCTCATTTTATTTTTCCCTTTTTTTAATCTCTAAATTTGAATTAGTAAATTTCACTAATAAATAGTAATTTCCACTAATTTATTAGTAAAAATCTGCTAATAGTCATTTTTACTAATTTATTTAGTAAAATTTACTAATACTTATTTCTATTAATTTATGAGCAAAATTAACTAATTTAAAAGCAAAAATTTAGTTACTGATTGAAATTAGTAAATAAAAAATAAAACCTACTGTCTAAATTTAATTTAATAAAATGTTTACTAAGAATTTGTAACTGACTGTTTGCTTTTGAATTCGTAAATTTTACTAATAAATCGTCAGTTCTACTAATTTATTAGTAAAATTTACAAATAGTAATTTCTTCAAATTTATTAGTAAAATTTACTAATAGTAATTTCTACAAATTTGTAACTAAAATTTAATAATAGTAATTTCTACTAATTTATTAGTCAAATTTACTAATTTGAAAGCAAGAAGTTAGTTACTAATACAAATTAATGAACATTTTTACTAATTCAAATCTAGAGAGTATATTTTATTTTTTTATTACTTTTGCATTTTATTATTTTCTATTAATTTTTTTATTTATTTTGTATTTTATTTTTTACTATTAATATTCAATTTTTATTAAATCGGAAATAAAATTTTCAAAGTGTCCGAAACATTGTTGAATTAATAAGAAATATTTTTAGTTTCTGATACATTTTTCAAAAAAAAAAAAAAAAATATTAAACCAGTTAATGATAAATATCGCACGAAAAATTGGTTTTGAGTTTTTTTATTATAATTTTCATTTGTTTTTACTTTTCTATTTTATTCTAAATTTATAAATAAATTGATTAATGAATCAGTAAATAAATAAATATTTATATTATTATTATGATTGTTTATTTTTTTCTTTTATTTATTTTACAGATATACGCACTGAAAAAAATTATATAAAATAAAAAAAAATAAATAAATAAATAAACGATAAAATAAACGATAATAAACGATAATTAATAAACGATAATAAATAAACGATTACTTGTCTATTGTCAAATAAATATTTACTTGAATAAAAATAATTTTTATTTAAATCTACTAAATGGTATTTGATTCAATCACTAAAATTATTAGTTCAAATACAATTTTTTTGGTTGAAATAAAAATTATTTGAATAAAGTAAATATTTATTCTAGACAAGGAGACAAGTATAATCCGTTATTTGAAAAAAGTAAATTTTTTTCCGAGCGGGACAATTACTATTATTACTATTTATTTTTTTTTGGTTGAAATAAAAATTATTTGATTCAAGTAAATATTTATTCTAGACAAGGAGACAAGTATAATCCTTTATTTGAATAAAATAAATTTTTTTCCGAGCGGGACAATTACTATTATTATTATTTATTTTTATTATTGTTTTTGCTATTTATTTTTATTATTACTATTGTTATTAGCCATTAGGCCAAAAAAATAAGTCGAAGATCTTTATTATTTAAATTATATGGCTTTTAAAAAAATTTTTTTTAACGTTATTATTATTATTATTATTATTATTATTATTATTATTATTATTATTATTATTATTATTATTGTTGTTTTTGTTGTTATCACTATTATTTATTTTCATTTATTCGCTTTTATTTACAGTATAAAACAAGACACTAAACTGTTGTTATTATTTTATTGTTTAAAAAAAAATTGTTATCCTACATTTTTTAATTTTAATTATTTCGAATTTTTTGTTTGTAGAAAATAATTTTAAAATAATTTTAAAAATTTTTTCTCTTTGACAGTATTACGAATGGAGGAAGATCAAAGAGTCACGTTCCGACGGTATACATTCAAGTTTGGTAAGTGAATAAATTTTATCTAACAACTTTGAAAGATTTAAAGTCGATTAAATGAAGTTAATGAGCAACTCAATAATAGTCACAAGTTTATTATTTATACACAAGCAATTAATGACGAGATTTTTCTTTTTATTTGAAATTCAAATATTCTTTTGTATTATATATGTATTAATCATATGCCGCCGGATCAAAACTGTTTTAAATAATAATCAAAAAAATATTTTCTTTTAACTTTTTTTTAATTTTTTAATTTTTAATTTTACAAAAAACTTTTGGATTAGTTTATTTAATTTACCAATTTCAAGGACTAAGTTTTTGAGAGAATAAAAGAAAATATATTTTCCATTATTCTCTCAAAAACTTAGCCCTTGAAATTCAAAAAATAAATAAATAAATTATCATAAAAAATTATTTATTTATTCCTTTATTTTTGAAAGAATAAAGAAAAAAATATTTTCCTTTCTGCTCTAAAAAAATTTGTCCTTGAAAAAATTAATTATTTATTCATTTATTTTTGAGGGTCAAAATGTAAAAAATATTTTCCTTTATTCTCTCGAAAACTTAGTCCTTGAAATTCGTAAACTAAATAAATAAATTAACCTCAAAAATTATAAAATAATTTATTTTTCCTACATTTATTCTTTTCTAAATTTCAAGTAGAAAAAGAAAGAAGAGTCCACTTTTCAAAAAATCAAAATGTCGGACACAATATGGCGGGTGGGTTCGATTAGTACTATTGTTTACGTTCCTCGCTTTTTTATAGATTTACAACTTGATTAAAGTGAATATATTTTCGATTGAAATATAAAAATCTATTTTTATAACTAATTAAATGAAGTGAACTGAATAATTTAATTTTATTGGATAAATCAGCGACTATTTTTTTTCTTCTTCCTCAGACGCTTGTAATAACGAATAAATAAATAATAAATTCAGGAGGTTAAGGAAACGATCGATTTTTACTGCATGCGATACACGATTATTTTTATGTCTCTTTTTCTCGATAAAACGTTTCTCCTTTAGTTATTTTTTTTCCCGCCGTTTCTTATATTTATACAGACTTAATTTTGCTGCGGGATGAAAATAATTTAGTGTTTATATTTTTTTTCCACTCTTTATTATTTATACCAAAAAGGATGTATATTAATCCTGTATAAATAAATAAGGAGGAAAAAATAAAAAAAAAAAACTGGAGAAAAGGAATTTAAAAAGTACGTAAATGAAAAGGAAACGAAGAAGGCAAGTGTATTTAAAAAGAAAGAAAAAAATATATAAAAGATGCAAAATATTTGAATGGATAAAAATGTTTGTATATAAAGAGCCTTGAATTTCCGAAGTAACTCCGAATTACTGCCGTAATTTTGCGAATAATTGCACTGGACTAAATTGAAAGGTTTCCCCTCCCCCCTCCTTTTTGGAATATTTAACATTTTCTTCTTTCGTTAACCAATGAATCGCTGTGGCATATTTTAGTTTACGACTAATTAATAGTGGACGATTCGAGTGTTAACGAGGCACAAAGATGGAGTCTTTACTTTACACACGCGGAATTCTCTTAATCGAGCGGACATTTTTATCTTTAAAAATTCACATTGGGATAATTTAAAAATACCGCAGAGAGAAGGGAGATTGAAAAAAGAGAGTCCAAAAAAAAAGGATTTGTAATCATCCAATCCAAAATGTGGGTGGTCTTTATTGCAAAAGATTCTCGCTTATATAAAATGACCGCCGCGTCTTGAGAACGTGATCGCGGTTTTTTTGTCTTGATCTCTTTCTCTTTCTCTCTCTCTCTCTCTCATCATCATTTCTTCCCTTCCGATTGCGCGGCATTTGCATTGGCAGCGTGTTACGCGCGAAGGTTGACGCATGAATAACAAAAAAAAAAAAAAAAAAAAAAAAAAAAAAAAAAGAAGAAGAACATTCGAAGAAATCGCGAAAAATGCAAGGTCATTACACTGGAAAATATATTTAAATGATTTCGAAGATTTACCTTGAAATTTTGTTTTTGTAAATTTACTTTTTTCTGGGGGATAAAAATATTATTTTTCTGTATTTTTGATATTTGTCATTCGTGATATTATTCTGCTCGGAAAATATAAAGTAAAATAAAAAAATGAAAGTAACTTTTACTATTTTCAAAGTAAAACTTACAGTGACAGAAACTTCTGCACATTTTTGGAATTTTTTTACTATTTTCAGAGTAAAAATTGCTACCGAATAAATAAAATAATAAAAGTAAAGTAACTTTTACTATTATTTTCAAAGTAAAACTTACAATGACAGAAACTTCTGCTCATTTTTTTTGGAATTTTTTACTATTTTTGGAGTAAAAATTGCTATTAAATAACATTTTTGTAAAAATTAGTATTTACCTCGAGCGTTTAGTAAAATTCACTTTTAAAATAATCAAATTTGACATAATTGCGCGCAGTAGTTGCAGATTGTTTTGAATTTACTTTGCAAATATAGTAAAAGTTACTATACTAGCGGAGGGAGCAAAATAATTATAATTTTAGCGCACTTTTAGCTAAAATTTGTGTTTTACTTTCAGAAAAACTAAACTGCCTGGTAATTTCTGCGCATTTTTTGCAAATTCTAGTATTTTTCGAGTAAAATTATTGCAAAATTCGTTAAGTAAATTTTTTACCAGAATTCTTTATTTTGTCACTAAATTATCGAATTCTAGTGACAGAATAGAGAATTCTCACTAAAAAACTGAATTTTACTGACAATAACCGAGAATTCTCACTAAAATATCGAATTTTCGTGACAAAAACGGAATTCCAGGACTCAAACCAGTAAAAGTATTTAAAATTTTTAACTAAAATTGTTCTTTCATCAATTATTTAAAATAATTTTCGAAAAAATTTTTGCTAATTTTCAAATCCATTTTTGTTTACACTATTCAATTTTACGAAATTCCAATTATTCGTCAATTCTTCAATTGACGATATTAGAAAATAAAAACTTCAATTAATTTCAAAAAAAAATTCGCAATTATAACTTTTTCAAAAAACTTAATTTCAAAATTCAATTATTTCCAAAAATTCACAATATATTGCTTTTAATATTCAATTATTATCTAAATTTTTAACTGAAATTCATTTTTATGAAATGAAAATCAATTTTTATTAGAAAATTCTACAAGAATTAAATTATTTAAATACAAAACTAAATAATTTATAGAATAATTGAATATTTCTTCAAATTGAGTTATTATAAAGCGAGCTTTATGAAATTTTTTAAATATAACTGAATTGCTATGAAGTATTTCATTAGAATTTTTGAAAATAATCAATAAATTCTTTCAAGAAATTTAATTAAAATTGTAGCTGAAAATAATTATTAAATTCTAATAAACAAAATATATGAACATTTTTTTTTTAAATTGAATTCTTTCAAAGAATTTTCATTAAATTGTTAAGAATAATTGCATTTTTCGAGGAATTTATTTAAAATTGTATTAGAAATATTTGAAATTCTACAATGAGTTTTATTATTTATGAAAATAATTGAGTTCCTAAAAAGAGTTTTAGTATTTACGAAAATAATTGAATCACTGTAAAAATTTATTATTTATGAAGATAATTGAATTATTGCGAAGAAATTCATAAACAAATTTGTAAATAATTGAATTCCAGTGAAATTTTTATTATTTTATGAAAATAATTGAATGTTTGCATAGAAATTTCTCAAATTTTTGTTAAATAATTGAATTCTTTTGAAAAATTTAATTAAAATAATAAATATTGAATATCATTTATAATGGAGAAAAATTTTGGAAAATAATTGAAATTTGCCAAGAATTTTATTAAAATTTGTGAAAATAATTGAATTTCAGAGAAGAATTTTAATATTTCTAAACATAATTGTAATATTGACGAACATTTTTAAAAAATTTTGAACGTAAAAAAACAATTGAATTTTTGCAAATAATTGCATAATAAATATTGAATATTATTTAATGGAGAAAAATTTAGGAAAATAATTGAAATTTGCCAAGAATTTTATTAAAATTTGTGAAAATAATTGAATTTCGGAGAAGAATTTTAATATTTCTAATCATAATTGTAATATTGACGAACATTTTTAAAAAATTTTGAACGTAAAAAAACAATTGAATTTTTGCAATTATTTGAAATTTTTCCAAAATTCTCCAAATTATATCGTACAATTTATGAATTTTTTTTTGTCCTTTTTCTATCAAATTATAGATTTTACGGACCATTTTTTTTAAAAAACTGACTTTTACGGACTTGAATATCAAATTTTAGCGACAGGACAGATAATTCTCACTAAAATATCGAATTTTAGTGACAAAAACAGAAAATTCTCACTAAAATATCAAATTTTAGTGACAAAAACAGAAAATTATCACTAAAATATCGAATTTTAGTGACAGAAACGGAAATCTCACTAAAATATAAAATTTTAGCGACAAGACAGAGAATTCTCGCCAAAAATCTAATTTTAGCGCCAAGACAAAGAATTGTCGCTAAAATATCGAATTTTAGTGACAAAAATGGTGAATTGTCGCTAAAATATCACATTTTAGCGACAAGACAGAATTCTCACTAAAATATCGAATTTTAGTGACAAAAACGGAATTCTCGCACTAAAATATAAAATTTTAGCGACAAGACAGAGAATTCTCGCCAAAAATCTAATTTTAGCGCCAAGACAAAGAATTGTCGCTAAAATATCGAATTTTAGTGACAAAGGCGGAATTCTCACTAAAATATAAAATTTTAACGACAGAACAGAGAATTCTGGGGAAAAATTGAGTTGAAGGACCCGAAAGATTGGAAGCGTCTCTATATCCTTGTGTCTGGGATTCAATATCCGGGGACTTAGAACAACACATAAGGTGGAATATAGACACGAGTATTCTAACAGCGCGATTACTTTAACGACTGATATTAATTGGCACAATAAAACCAGACGTAACGAGGGTTTAATTATAATATTGAATTATGACCGACGTTTATTCTTGTCACGCA